GCCAACCGAGCAGAGCAGTCAGCTTAGCGGGGCGAGCGCGTCATCAATCATTTATAAAACTTATTTTCTTATTTAAACTTAAGTTGTGTGGTTTGTTTCTTTTTTTCTTCTTTACTCCTTTGTTATTTGTTCTTATTTTTGGGGTTGATGCATGAGAGCGACAAAGATTGATTGGCGTACTAAAAAAAAAAAAGAGGAAACAATAGCGATCTTTGATGAGTGGTGTATCAAAAGACAAGTTGTCTCAACCCTGAAGTTCAGAAGAATTGCAACAACAACAATTGGCAATTATTCTTACAGTTTAAAGTCAAATAAATGATGATATTGATGAGAGTACTTTTAAGAAAGTTGAAAAAAAAAACACTATACATCGAATACTCCTCCGAAAAATGAAAAGTATTTTGCATATCTATCTCAAATATATTGCTTTCTCAAATAGTTGCAAGAAAACTCAAGCAGAAGTTTCTCGTAACATTCTTCAATATAAAGTTTACATTTTCGATGAATATTTGAAATGTTGCTTACAACTATTTTAGACAAAGAACATCCTTAATGAGCACGTCAAGAATAGTCGTATCTTATGCGATATAAATAAATTAATAAAATAAAAATAACTTTTAAAATCAAAAATAAAAGTAAAAAAAAAAAATTAATAAAAACAGAACAATTGGAAAACTGATATGTGCTGTCTAGAAAATAACTAGGTAGGAACGAACTCTGGCCGATTCGAAGAAGTAGAAACAAGTTAACCTGGAGCCTTACTATAAATTTAAAATGTATGGGTATTGTTTTTCCAAAGGTGAACATTCTTGATACACTATACATATTTACATTAATATAAGAAATGGTGCACAATTTCTTCCTCTATAACAAACAGTTCCAAAAAGGTCTCATTCTCACACTGTACCCTAGTATTTGATAACAATATTTAAGCCCTTCTCTCCCTCTCTCGCTTTCTGACCTGCTGAAATTTAACGCGATGTTGTTAATTATAACTGCCATTTGGTTTCTGTAGATATTTTTTCAACATAAAAAAGGAGAAAAATCATTGTTTTTTTAAATCCCTTGAGCGAAAAATGCTTAAAATGTTGACAGATGATGGGCGCGACGCTGAATATCCAGCCGAGGGCAAGGGGATGTCAAGGCTCAGCAATTGCGGCCATTTCATCAGCCAGTCAATGATATGCTGATTAAAAAATCAACGAGGCGGCTTAACAAATGCAAGAACAACAACAACAGCAGCAGCAACAAAATTATAACAACCCTTTTGGGAATTGTAGCGCAAATTGCTTAATGAGTAACAAGTTGACTTGTGTTAATTATAACGAGCGGAAGAGGGGCGCATTATCGAATCCTAAGCCAACCGGTTTAATTATTTTAATCCTTAGTGCAAACAATGGTAGAGGAGCTGAAAGAAAAGCAAGAGGTAGACATATGTCGCTTACTTAGTTTTAAGCCCCCCGGGCGTTCTTGTTGCAATTCCGATTGGACGACTCGTAAGAGTCTCGCAGCTATTCTGCAATTGTTATTAAGGAAAGTTTTTGAGCAGCAGCTTCTAATGCCAAACTTGTCTTAAAAAAAGAAAAGAAAAAAAAAAACAGTGTCTAGTACAAGTTTTGCCCAAAAAATTCCTCAAACTTGAGAGCAACTTTTGTGGCGTGTCTGCAACAGCAGCTTCAAACTTTAAAGCCTTTAAATGCGTAGCAAAACGAAGCAAAAGAGAACACACTATTATGGCACTTTAAAAAGTTTGGCGCACGCCCAACACACACCCACACACGCACACATACACGCATACACTGGCACGGCAAATCCTGGACTGTTAGTCATGGAAACTTTATACAAATTTAATACGCAAACGTTTTGTTTGGACTCTCTCGCTTTTTGGTTGGTTTGAGCGATTGCATGGCATTTTGAATGGCATTAAATATTTATAAATTCAATAGAAAATGCAATTGCAAATGCAACGCTAAGGCGAAGGAGGAGTAGGAAGTTAGGAGCAGCATTACGGGCAGACTGCCAAAAAAAATTGAATTGTAAAGTTTTTCTAAAAATCCACAGCACGGCAAGTGCACAGACACAATGGCTCCTGCGTGCAGACAGCGCATAAGTTGGCCGAGGGATTTCGATGAGAGACAGTTGCAAATACACAAAAGATATGTATTCAAAGCAGGTGGGAAGCTGGAGTGTGTGGCAAGCGGGTTGATCGAGGAGTTGAAGAACTGAACAGAATAGAGGAGATACTCAAATTACTTGTTTTCTGACAGATTTGGTCAGATTTTCAAATTAGAGACTGCTTTCTTTTGATTGGGAAATTATACGAAATATAAATAACATAAATTTCGGAAGTTGTGTGAATATCAATAATGCGGTCATTCAGGTATAAAAAGATTAATCTTGATTAATTCCATCTCTCATACTTTCAAAGTTCCTTCCACTCCACTCGTATATCATAATGATATACACAAGTATGCTTTGAGGCACGCCTACTTCTGAAAATAGTTCTGAAAAAAAAAAAACATATCTGAACAAGTTTTGAATCCCACTTAAACTTCACTTTCAAAGCATATTTTAGTACAATATCTGTATTGAAATATTGCAACTGATAAATTAGAAGTTAGTGGACTTAGAGTGTATATTTTATAGGAAAAAAAAAACAATAATTAAAAACAAACAACTATTTCATTCAGATATTAATAAATATAATGTAAAAAACAACCTTTAACTTTCTTCATTATTAACAAAATTAATGAGTTTGTTTATTTTAATCTTCAATTCCTAATTTGAAATTTTATAGCATTAGTTTTTATTGCTTACTATTTGATGAGCCCTCGCAAAAGCGACAGGTAGTAGCTGGAGAAATATTTTGCTTAGCTATTCGACTCGGTTCTACTTTTTCCACTTAATGTTATCTCAAAATGCAATTGCTGTTATTGTTGTCCTGCGACGCCCCGGCTGTCTGGCTGTGCCTTTGCCAGGCTGCTTATGAAATATTCAAAACAAACTCCAAGGATTTCTTAGCTACACATACTATATGCAAGATTATAAGCATGCCATGATAAACATGTACATATGCATTTACTACTATATGGCGTATGTGTATGTATATGGCCAAGTTGAGTGCCATTTGAAAGGATCAACGTACGTGTTCGCGTATATGCATACTCATATGTATGTGCGAGTATGTATTTAAAAACTTTTTATAATTGCTTTGGTTTTGAAAGTGAAGCGAGTGCCCGACCGGCCCGGCCCGGCCCGGCTTGTGTGGTTCGACTTGGCTCGCTAATTGCCACTTGAACACAACTTGTGCGGTCTGGTCTGCAGCGGCAGGCAAGCGAACCGCAGGCGCAGTTCAATAGCCGCTTGAAATAATAGCAGCAGTCAACCGCAGTAACTACAACTACATCAAAAAACAAGAACAACAACAACAACAATAATAATAATAACAACAACGAAGCGCAACATAATCATAACAATGTATAGTCCTCGTCGTCGTCAAGTTGAATATTTATTGAGCTGTTTGCTCATTCAGCTTGAAAATCAAATATTAAATAAGACCACGCTCGCGTTCGCATTACAAACATAAGCGATAAAGAAAATAATGCCTTCATCTTGTCATCCCCGCCCTTCTCACAGCCTTACACAACTCACTGATCAAGTGACACCCACAAACGGGACGAATGGCAAACAATTTTGTTGCATGCATTGCTTACCAAGAATTTTCTTATTATGATTTTTTTTTTTTTTTTGATTTGGTTTTTTGTTTTTGTGCCGCAACAGCTGGAAGTTATCTGCGCACTATGCAAACATAACAACAACAACAAAAGGAACAACAACAACGTTAGTTGAAGTCGCCCCCATGTCCGAATAACCGTATGCCACAAAATGTTCCCAAGTCCACCAAATCGCCCAGCAGCGTATCCAATTGCGAGCTGAGAAGACAAGCAGGCAGTTTTAATATCATCATCATACTACTATACATATGGATATGTACATACATATATACACTTAGCTGTGTGTATGTTTGTGTATGTTGGATTCGATTCTCGGAATTCATAGCCAAGCAGAATAGCCAGTTTGTGAATGAATTGCTGGTGAATGCAATGAATGAGCAAATAGTTGAAGTTTCTTCTTTTTCTATATACTTGTACATATATATATACATATAGTATGTGGCTATAGCTGTTATGCGGATTGTTCCCGATTGGCTCAGCTGTTTGCTGTTCACCGCAATGCTGATGTAATGAAAATGTAGCTCATAAGAGTATGAAAAAGCTGTCAAGTTCACAAATTCAAAATTGTAAATGTTTGGAATCTTCAACGTATATTAATAATTATGAGTTCATGAAATAGGTCTGTGTTAGTTTTGACTGACAGGGACTCTAACTACACTCCCTACCAGCTTATATAAAAAAGATATTGCATTAAGTTCTATCCTCTGTACTCGAAGGGTAAAAAGGGTTTATGGGTTTTGTGCAACAACATCAGACAAAAGGAACCGCCTCCGACCCCATACAGTAGATATCCTCCTAATAAACATGACAAGACACATCGATGTAGACACGCTCGTACGTCTGTCTGTATGAACGCCTGGATTTCGAAAACGGCTGAGAACACATTGGCCAAATTTGATATTTAAATTCTTTTAGTCCCTATGCAAAACGACTTTATTTTATTTTTTAGACTACCCCGATACATCATTTCATTTAGTACTGTTCACAATTTCAAATCAATTGACTCACAGAAATTTGCTGATAGAAGTAGTATTGCAACGATACAGTTAGGTCTGTCATGTTTGTGAAAATAAAAAAAGTCAAGGCATCCCAAGCACTTGCAAATGATAAATTATTAGTAAGCCCTGAAATATGTGTAACCTATTCGCAGTGCATTTGCATAAAGAATACAGAGTATAATGACTCACTAAAATAATAACTTTTATTTTATAACCCACAACTCGTTTGCATGTGTAACTGACAACAACAACAATAACCCAAACTCACCTTGACTTGATAAGAATTCAAACGCGTCATTGGCAGAACATTGAATTCTGCGAAATCTCTACGACGTCCGAAGATGCCATTGCAACCAGATGTGGAGCTGCAAGTAGAAGGGAGAAAAATAAGCATAAATACAAGTACGAGCATATATCAGTATATCATTGCTGCAATGATGCACAAAGTAAATACATAGTATATACAATTTATATGCATAAGTATATAGATGAAATATATATATGCTATGACAGCATCTCAAAGCATTGCATTGGAGTGGTTGTGCGTGAAAAAAATGAAGAAAGAACATTGCATAACGTGGCAAGAGACGATGTTGACAGCTGCCAAGTGAACGGAAATTGCATACTTCAGTAATATCTCACATAAGTATATTTATGTATATATGTACCTATGTGAGAGTATATGTATGTATATGTGGATGCAATTTTCCTTTTGCCGCATGGCACACGTTTCCGCCGATACTCGTATACTCAAAAGCCACACCACCCCACCCATTTCTTAGGCGAATACAATAGATAAATAATAAAGTATAGCAACTTTTCATTTACGTGACTTTTATGTAGCTTTGCCCAAGCACACACTAACATAATGGCAAATATTTAAGCAATGATTAAATCAATTTAACTGCTAATTGAAATTGTTGACAGATTAGTAATAACGATCGTGATAACTTTTTTATCGCATGTCAATGTTTTTTGCACAATCTGTTTAGCAATTTAATAAAATTATATTCCAGGGATAATATTGCAAATGTAAATACTATGAATTGTACTATATGTATGTACCTATACCAATACTATATATAAAGAATGCTATTTAAGAAAAAACTTAAATTAAACTATGCCACATTTATAATAACAATTACATTTATGTATACTATTTTTTTTGCCCCCACACGAGGTGTTAAAGAATGTTTTTTAAGTATTCCTTTTTTTAATGCCAGTCATATTATTTGCACAGCAAAGCAAATAAAGTTATCAACACAATAAATAAATACAAAAAAAAAAGACACAAAAAAAAAAAGAAAAAACAAATAACAAAACAAAAACAACAATATGGGCAAACAGAGTAAAGCTGAACAAAACAAGCGGGCGAAAGAAACGCCGACGACGATAACAACAATCGAAATTGTTGTTATATTTTACGCTGCCGCTGCCGCTGTTGACCTTGACATTGAATAGATTTTAATTTGTATTTGCATTTTTTTTTTTTTTTCTCCTTAAGATTTTGCAAGCATTTTAAAGCAATTGGCAACAAAAGTGGCCAACAAATATCTTCAAATATAGAGCTGCTTAGCTCGAACAACAGCAGTTCAGCGAGTGCAGATGTACGCAAAACTATTTTTCATTTCTATCTCTGACAGCTAGGCGGCCAGCCAGCCGCACAGCGAAGCGATTTCAAAATAAACACACTTTAGTATAAAGCAGTGAAGAACTAGCAGAACTTGGGAGAACGCAATATTTTAAAATTAGGCAACCACTTTCATTCTCATATATGGTAGTATGTACAAGTATGTGGCTTGCACCCAAAAAATAGACTTTAAATCGGACTACCCTAAACTTTTTCATGTTATTATTTATTTCGACGCTGCTGCAAACATAAACAACTAACTTATGTACCCTTTTCAAATTGTAAGTGTTCTCATGCCGTTCGCTTATCGCTGTTCTCTTCTCTTGTTTGTGTTCATTTTTCCATTTTTCGGTTTTGTTTTGCTTTGTGCTTTTTGCGAAATTTTATAATACTTAGAAGCGTTTCATTTATTTACACCTCGTTTCAAGCACGCCCCTTGCTGCCACCACCTACCTACGTACATACATATGTACTATACATATATGTGTACTCGTATACCTCACCCCATTATTGTCACGATCACTGGCATTACGTAACCAGAAACCGCTGCTAAATTTTAAAAGCAGACCGCATGGCTCTCTGTCTCCCTCTGCCCCCTCTGCCCCTCTCACTCCAAGTCGATATTTCACTGACGTTGGCAGCAACAGCAACGGAATTAGTCATACGCTCTAATCAGCAAGTGTATTATTTATTTTTAAACCCTTTACAATGCAGCGAGCAACGCGGCAATAAGATGTTGGCAGTCAATTGGAAAATAATATTGGTGTTGAGCACTCTCCAAAGGGTCCGTGAATAGCAAAACGACAACCAACCCAACTTCACTTGGCAATTATAATGAAAATCTTGAGCGGTTGTGGTGGTGTTTTATTATCTATAAAGTAGTTTTGTTTTACAAATTATATATTTTTACGCGCTTACATACCAATCCTTTCCCTTCGTCTTGAATACTGACGCGATAGTTCGATAATTAATTCTAAACTAATGATCGAATATTACAGAGTTTCATAAACAACTAATCGGCAAGTACTTTCAAATTCAAATTAAAACCAGTACAAATTCAAACTAAAATTAATTTGTAACATTCCGGCCCCCGTGAATCGACAAAGGCGGAGCCGGAGATTCACCAAAAACGTCGAGGACTGCCAGCTTAGATGCTGGTCTTTGAAGCGTTGTAGTTCCCGTCTTCACTGAAGCGCTGCGTACTTGTCCATCTCGAGCTAGTTGCACTGCAGTTACTCTACCTCGCTTCCACTGGCTTCGGCTTTCAGACTCATCGCAGATGATTACGATGTCTCCAACTTTAATTGGTTCCACGCGTTGAAACCACTTGGTTCGGCGAGTCAATGTTGGCAGGTATTCTAAAATCCATCGCTTCCAAAATGTCTGTTTCAGCTGTTGTCGTATTTGCCATTGTTTTCTCAAGCATTGCCGCTCGTCAATATGCGGCGTTTGAATTAGGTTAGGGCAACCAATTAAAAAATGATTAGGAGTGAGAGGTTCTGCTTCGGAATCTTCAATAGGAATATGTGTTAATGGCCGAGAATTAATCAAGTTTTCAGCTTCTATTAATAAGCTCTGCAAAGTCTCAACTTGCGGTACCTTTTGTTTCAATGTAAATGCTAGTACCCTTTTAACACTGCGCACCATGCGCTCCCAAGCACCGCCAGCAGCAGGATTACCAGGTGAATTAAACTCCCATTCAATGCCGCGCCGGCCACACTCTGATGACATCCCATTCACGGCTTCAATCCAGTGTATTTTGCTTGCACCAATAAAGTTTGTTCCCTGGTCGCTTCTAATTTTCTGCGGTAAGCCTCTGCGGCAACAAAAATTTTGCAAACAAATAATAGCAGAGTCCGATGAGAGATCCTTAGCGAGTTCCAAATGTATTGCTCTAGTGGTCATACAGGTGAACAAAGCAACCCAGCGTTTCTCTTGACGTCTTCCAATAGCAACCAACAAAGGACCAAAATAATCTAATCCAGTATACGTAAAGGCTCTTACATATGGTGAAAGTCGATCTATGGGCAGCTGACCCATCAATGGTGGCTTCGGACATATGTACGTATTTTTGCAAACTTGGCAACTTGACTTTACTTTATTGACCAAGGCTCTAACAGATGGTATCCAAAATTTTGTTCTTATATTTGATATTATAGTTTCCATATTCTGATGCTTACATTGTTCGTGAAAGTGCTGTGCAATTAAATATGTCAACTTATGATTCTTTGGCAATATCAAAGGTCTTTTTACATTGTCATCCACGCAGTTGGCATTGTTAATTCGACCGGATACACGCATAACTCCATCTTCGTCCATTACTGGGGTTAGGCAAACTATTTTACTGGCTTTTGGTACGGATTGTCCGTTCTGAAGTGCGGCTACTTCGGCTCTGAAACAATGACGCTGAACCAGGCGGCATAAAAGCTTTTCAGAAAGGTGTAATTCTCTTGCTGATAATATCAACGATGTCTGAAGACATGCTGAAGTTTTTCCAATTCTGTTTTTGAACGTGTCCACGACTCTAAGAACATAGGCGTACACTCTTATTAGCTTTTCGTATTTAGATGTTTTTTCAATTAAACTAAATATTGGACCATTCTCTTCTACGGTCGAAAACAAGAATTTTATTCGTTGTTCATTTTGTTGATCGTACTGCTTTATGTTCTCGTTTAAAACAGGCCATCTTTCGCTGTCGTTTCTTAGGAATAAAGGTCCTTCTAGCCATTTCTTTGATTTTACATTCGAGTCCATACGAGTGGCAACATCAGCAGGGTTTTGCGATCCAGGTATCCATTTCCATTGGCGTGCTTCAGTGCTGTCCAATATTTCTGATATGCGATGAGCGACAAATTGTTTATAACGGCGGCTGTCTGACTGAATCCAATTGATAACTGTTTTTGAATCGGACCATAAAAAGACTTCGTCTGGTTTTATGTCGTGGCTGTTGACAATAGCATCTTTAAGGCGAACTCCCAATACGGCTGCCTGAAGTTCTAATCGAGGAATAGATAGCTGCTTTAAAGGGCTACAGTTTGCTTTACCTAAAACGAAGGCAACTGTTACTTCGTCACAATATTCAATCCTCCAGTAAGCAACGGCGGCATAGGCTTCTTCGCTGGCGTCAACAAAAATATGCAGTTGTATTATGCAATTATTTTCCAAAAACTTCGAGTGATAACATCTGGGTATTCGTATTGAGTTTACTACGTTAATCATTGTATACCAATTATTCCATAAATTTTTTAGTTGATCGGGTATAACCTGGTCCCACTGCGTCTTAGAGCGCCACAGCTCTTGTATAAGTAATTTTCCTTTTATAACATAGTGTGCGATAAATCCAAATGGGTCAAAAATAGACATAATAATAGACAGTACCTGTCTCTTTGTGGGATATGATTTCATTTTAACGACTGATTCGGGTATTTTGTTAAATTTAAGAACAAAGCAAAATATATCGTCTTTTGCATTCCAGTGTAAGCCCAAAATCTTTTCAGTAATTGGCTTACATTGATTAAGGTCTGTTAGGTTTGCTAGCTGTGGTATATTTTTGTTATTTAACAAATGCATTAATTGTTCTGAGTTTGAAACGAAACCACGAAGCTCGAAGTTAGCATTTTCGTGAATTTCAATAACCTTTTTTACAACGGAATAAGCTTCATGTATATTACTAAAGCTATCAACATAGTCATCAACATAATGGCGTTCTATTATGGCTTGCACGGCTCTACTGTT